CGCAAACTCAATGGGGCGGTTTCTCCGCCACGCCTGCTTGCGCCCCCCCCCCCAGATCGGGCGCGGGGGGTGTGGAAAGGGGGGGGGGGGGGCGGCGGCGGCAGAAGCAAGCCCCCCAGACCTCGCGCGGCCAATCGCGTCGGCCCGCCCCTCATCGCCTTGGGGGGAGGAGGAGAAGGAGGAGTGATATGACGAGGGAGGGAAGGAGCAGAAGGAGGAGGGGAGAGGGTGATGTGCTACGATGTCGAGTGGAGGCGGAAGGCGGAGTGAGGAGGTTGACGATGTAATAGAGGATGGGGTCGAGGTAGCGGGTTGTTGTTGTTGTTGTTGTTGTTGTTGTTGTTGTTGTTGTTGTTGTTGTTGTTGTTGTTGTTGTTGTTGTTGTTGTTGTTGTTGTTGTTGTTGTTGTTGTTGTTGGTGGTGGTGGTGGTGGTGGTGGTGGTGGTGGTGTGTGTGTGTGTGTATGTGTGTGTGTGTGTGTGTGTGTTTGTGGTGGTGGAGGTGGCGGGGGAATGATGATGTTTTGAAGGAATGGGATATGGATGATGATACGGACGACGATGCTGATCATGATGTTGAGGATGTTGTTGACGATGAGGATGGCGCTGAGGACGACTGGGGTAGTGGCGGACCCGATTCTGATGATGCCGACGACGGGGATGATGATGTGATGGCGGTGTATACGATGATGACGCTGACGATGATGATCACGTTACCGATGATGATGATTCTGCTTATTACAAGTTGCATGGTGGTGACGATGACGATGACGGCGATGACGCTGACGGTGGGGTTGGCCGTGGCGGTGTCGACGACGATGATGGTGGCTATCATTGTGATGATGATGGCGATGGCGATGACGATGGTACTGCTGGTGCTGATGCTGATGATTGTGTTGATGATGACGATGATGCTGTTGATGACGATGGCGATGTCGATGCTGCAGGCGAGGCTGGCGATGCTGATGATGATGATGATGGTGATGATGGCGACGGTATTCGCGATGACGATGGCGCCGACGATGATGAGGTGAGGAATATTAGTATGCTGGTGATGCTGATTCCAATGGTGACGATGATACGGGTGATGATGATGGTGGTGATGTTGAAGAAAAATGCTGGCGATGCCGATTATGACGTGGATGATTCTTGTACCGAAGATGACGGGACTGATCACGATAAGTGTCCGGATGCTGGTGGAGGTGTTGGCTGTGATGGTGATGGTGATGACGACAACGATGGTGATGATGATGGTAATGGTGATTACCAAATGACAATGTTGATGATGACGATGCGGATGGTGATGCTGCTGTTGCTGATGTTGATGAGGACGATGTTGCTGCCGACGATGCTGATGCTGCTGTTGCTGATGTTGATGAGGACCATGAAGATGACGACTCCGACAACGATGATCATGTCAATGACGTTGGGTGGTGATGATGCTGATGCCGGTGCTGATGCTGATGATGATTGCGACGGTGATGATGCTGCTGATGATGATAATGCTGGGATGTTGATGGCGATGCTGATGATGAGAATTGTGATGATATCGCTTATGATGATGGTGTTGTTGTTGATGATGGTGAAAATTGTGACGATGATGAATCTGATGGTGATGATGATGGCACCGACGACGGATGACGATGGTGTTGATGTTCATACTTACGATGGCGATGATAGGTGGAATGATGAGTATGCTGATGATAGTGCACATGATGATGAAGATGACGATGCTGGTGGTCATGATGCCGGTGATGGTGATGATGAGGAATGGTAATGATTAGGTGGACGATATCTATGACGATAGTGACGATAATGGCGATGATGTGGATGATGACGATGGTTATGATGATGCTGATGATGATGGTGGTGGTGATGATGACAATAATGGGGATGATGATGATGATGATGAAGGAGATGATGATGACGACGGCGACGTCGACGACGACTTGGAGAATGAGATGGAAGATGAGGAGAGGATCATGATGATGATGATGATGATGATGAGGAGGAGGAGGAGGAGGAGGAGGAGGAGGAGGAGGAGGAGGATGATGGTGGTGGTGATGATGATGATGATGATGACGAGGATGACGATGATTCTGAATATGATGCTGCTGCTGATGATGATGATGATGAGGAGGAGGAGGAGGAGGAGGAGGAGGAGGAGGAGGATCGGACCGCATTGGCCTTCCACGAAAGCAACGTGCATGACCCTGGCAGGTGGGAGCGGGGTTTGCGCAGCTATATGTAGCTGTGCAGCCCAAGGCGCTTGCCAAGCGTGCTCATCTTACGCGCCCGAACCTGAACCAGGGTGTAATCAAAAGCAGACGTATAACTACGGATATCGATACCGTGTCACTTAAACCACCCAGCCTGCCTTCGAATGTGTCCACCCAGTTTCTTGGGGCGACCGCGCAAGGTGAAACCGACAAACCCCGCGCGGCAGCACGGGAGAGGGCGGAAGGCAGTATATCGAGAAAAAAGAACATGCGACCAACTCGGACTTCCCTCCTTCCAAACGCAAGTCCGCCAACGCGGAGGATATGGAAGTGACAGGGCTACCCACCCAAACCTCATCTTTCTCAGCCACAACATGCCATGGTCTCGCAACCTAATTGAGGACACGGGCGCACAGACAACGGAGGAGGAATGCGTGAGCGGAGCAAGAGAGTGAAGCGAGGGGTGCGGGACTCACGATCCGCGTCCCTCCGTCCAACCTGAAGCTAGGCAAGACACAGCGGCTGCGCAGTGAACCGTCCAAGACCACACCCGCTCCACAATGAGACCACTGAGACTCGGCAGCTGTGAACCGTCGGAGAAGATTGGTCGTCGCGAGCTCGAGGTCGACAGGGAACAGGAAACGAGGGACGGCAATAGACAGTGTCGGTCAGCACAGGCCATAGCCTGCAATTCCCGACCCGCGACAAGAAAACGTAATGAGGAAAGGGGGCAGTGCAGATGCTCGCACAGGCTGCGCGCTTGCGAAGGATCGCACAAAAGGTTGTAAACGAGGAGCCGCACTGAGCACCTGTAGGGGAACGAATACTGACATAAGCATACACATTCGGAGGTCCGTGCGGATTTCTCGGATCGGCGCTGGGGCCCCCTGGCGGCGCCTCCTGCGCCGCCCCTGGCGCGCTCCGCTCGCCGGGGAGGGGGTCAGCGCGGATCCGAGAGATCCGCGCGGACCTGCGAGTTTTTATGTTTCTGTATTGTTTTGTTCCCCTAGCCGGAGACAAAGAACGTGCGCAGAAGGCTGCGAGGGAAGGGAGCGGGGGCGTCCCCATGAGGACGAGCGGGGACGCACGTGCACGACAAGGTGTGCAACATATAGACCAGGCCTACGTGGACACGGCGTCCTGCGCATCCTTGCCCGGAAGAGCTTCGGAATCTTCGATGGAGCGGCGGGGCTTCGTCGAAGTCTCCTAGATGGGGTCGGAGCGCGTGGGGTCGGAGGGTCGCGCCGCATCGCCGATGCATCGGCGATGCGGCTCGATTTGGAACCCGATTTGCTTCACGTCGACGTTGCCGATGCATCGTCCACGTCGACGATGCATCGCCAGTGCTTCGCTGATGCATCGCCGATGCATCGCCGATGCATCGCCGATGTATCGGCGATGCGGCGCGATCTTCCGACCCCATCTACTCCCCCACTTAGGAGGCCTCTGACTCGGCCCACAATCCCTGCTCGCCAGAGGCTGCATACTGAATCCGGCGCGCACTGCAGACGAAACCTCTGGCAATCTTGCAGAGGCGGCCACCACGCCAGATGCCGTCGTGGGTGCGATTGCCGCAGTATGTGCACACTGCGTTTCGTCGCACGGCCGGCCATTCGTGCACTTGGTCAAGGCCGCTATTGCTGCGCACCGCTGGCCAGAGCTCGGCGGCGAGCGAGGGGGGGAAGTGAGAAGGGGCCGGCCTTCTCAGAGGGCTTGGAAGTCCCCCGGCCTTCTGAGAAGTTTTCTAGACCTTCCCCGAAGACACAGAAAAAGCCTCTCAGAAGGCGCGAGGGCTCCTGAGAAGCCCATCCGCCTTCTGAGAAGGCCTTCTCCTTCTCATTTCCCCCCTTTCGCCCGCCGCTGAAGAGCTTCCTTGGACAAGTCCTTGAGGTCGGCGGACACGCGGACCACGGATCGACCTGACAGGCCTGGCCCTTCTGGTGTTGCACCAGTGCCTGCTGCGTGCTCGAGGCCGCTGCAGACGGAGGTGGTGGTGCTGTATTCCAGAGCCTTTGCGAACGAAAGGGGATGAGGAGGCAGAGGAGGTAGTTGGAGGAGGAGGAGGCTGAGGAGGAAGATGCAGCTGAGCGGTCCACGGGAAGGCTCGTCTGCCCTCGTCATCCTCACCGCTGCTCCGCATCTCGACCTCGCTAGGCTCCACTCCCGCTCCCGCTCCACCTCTGCTCCGCGGCTCGCGCTCCCTCCCTCCTCGTCCTCGTCCTCGTCCTCGTCCTCGTCCTCGTCCTTGTCCTGCTGCTGCTGCTGCTGCTCTGCGGTTGTCAGGAGGGGGGACAACACGCAGACGCAATTAATCGTATATTCCCTCGCAAACAGGGGGATGAATGGGAAGCGGGGGGGAAGACGAAAACACAGAAAATAGGGGAAGATACATGGGGAATCCTGTTGTCCGTGTCTATTTGTTTGCGTGTCCCAGGGCCCCGTCAGGTTGCTGCTCCCCCTCCTTCCTTCCCGCCGCCCCCCTTCCGCCGTGCTTCTCGTCTCCACGGCGTTACGTTGCATCTTCGGGGGACCTCGCCTGTCCCCAAAATTGGTGTCTTTTCTTGTGTCCGACGCATGCTTGATGCGGATTCGACGCGGACTTGGTACGGATTCGACGCGGATTCGACACGGATTCGACACGGATCCGACGAGTCCGACATGGATTCGACACGGATTCGACGCGGATAGGACAGCGACGGGACAGACAAGGTCCCCCGAGGATGCAACATAACGCCCCCCTTCCGCCGTGCTCCTCGTCTCCACGGCGGCGCGCGGCGGGGAGGCTCTGGAAGTCCCGGCTTCCGCTCATCGTGGTGCCGGTGCTGGCGGGGCTCCACCGCCACAGCCTGCTGCGCGGGGCGGGGCGTGGGGGGGTAGGGTTCGGGGGCGGCAAAGAGGGGGGTGATGACTAGGGGGGGGTGGATATCATGGCGGGGGCCATGATATTTCCCCAGATCTCATGGCGCCTCTTCTTATTTCATAACGTCCCTGGCCCCCCCGCTGGGCCGCGCACGGGCCGCCAGCCATGATTTGCGCCCCCCCCTCTTGGACACCCCCCTCTTGGCCGCCCCCGAAGGGTGGGGCCTGGGCTTAGTGTTAAGGCGGGCCCGTCCCTCTGCAGGGGGAATTTTCACAAGTAGTTAACAAAAAACGTCGGGGGACGATTTTTGGATTCTTTTTGGCCACTTTGGAGTATTTTTTTGAGTATGTTGAAGTTTTCCTCCAAAGCTCCCCTGTAGGGGACAGACCCGACCTGAGCTTAGTGACAATGGTTTCGATGATATCACTTCCGCAGACATCCAGACAAGGCATTCAGGGCATACGTCAAAAGCAGGCAAGAACAAAGTAGCAGCAACCAACACGACGCACACAAACACACACTTTCACAGCACAGCGCAACGTACCTCAGCAACCACATTATCAACCAATAGTATATACAGATATCGTGCACCAGCCGTCAACATCACAACGGTTCACACACAGTGCTTACTCCAGATTCCGTAATAAAAGGGAGGGGGTCTGGACCCTCCAAGACAAGCCATTTCAGACCTCCCCCGTTGGAGAACCCTCCAAAACATCGTCCCCAGACCCACCCAGGCCCTCCAAGATAGCTTGGAAAAGACCCCCCCCGAAATGAGACCCCCCTCCCTTTATTACGAAATCTGGAGTAACATTCACCCATATACAACAATGGCAAACATACAACGACACTCTCAATAACATACACCAGTGACAGACAACCATATAATCAACCAAACACATACAGCAGGGACGCACATAATTAACACTATAGCCAAAAAACATAAGTCAATAATAGACCACTCAGACATTTCAGTAGTTTGTACCAGCGATACTCGTCAACAAACTGCATCAGTTGCAAACGCCAACGAAACATCAATGGCATGCGCCAAGAGGGTACAGTATTGTAATGACATGCGTGCTGACAGCATGCAGCAGCTACATGCAGCAGCGATACCAGCCATCCAGAGCAGACATCACGATATACATTCATTGGGTACATTGAGCATGCACAACAATGATATGCTTCATACGCATGCACTAGTATCACACAGGGCCTCGTGATGACACCGACATAAGAAGCAGGCATTACGAACACAAGGATCGGCTTGCCGATTGTACACATGGCACATTTGCATTTCATAATCACATGCGCGACCAACATTTACTGCGAACGTGCGCACGTCTTACACACGAGACACATGCATACACAGCAAGCATCAAGAGCATTAATCACGGCCATGCGGTCTCGGTCATTGAAAGTAGGTATTTTTGATTCCCAGATCCCAATCTACTTCAAGCGCCTTCCTACGTCAATAACCGATATGCTTCTGCTATGTTTTGCTATATTCTCCGGGAGGGCCCTAAACCCAGTCTGCTTTCTTCCCCTTCCTGCTTCCTGGTTCTACCCACCTCTTCCGACCGACGTGGGATCCATTAGGCACAATGGGGAGAGGGGGGTGTAGACTAGGGGGTGGGTGGATTTCATGGCGAGGGCCGTGATACCTCCCCAGACTTCAGGGCGCCGCTTCTTCATTCCCACTACCTCCCCGGGCCCCCCCCCTGGGCCGCGCACGCGCCCCTGGCCATGATGTGCACCCCGCCCTCTTGGATCGGGGGCGGCAAAGAGGGGGGTGATGACCAGGGGGTGGGTGGATCTCATGGCGGGGGCCATGATGCCTCCCCAGACTTCGGGGCGCCGCTTCTTCGTTCCCAATACCTCCCCGGCCCCCCCCCCTGGGCCGCGCACGCGCCCCTGGCCATGATGTGCACCCCGCCCTCTCGGGACGAGGAGGAGGAGGAGGAGGAGGAGGAGGAGGAGGAGGAGGAGGAGGAGGAGGAGGAGGAGGACGCCCCCCTCTTGGCCGCTCCCGATCCCAAGGGCGACGCGCGCGCCGAGAGAGAGATCCCAGTAGATGGGCTCCGTGGCGGGCGCCTTTCTGGCCACCACACCGCTCGGGAAGCGATGCACTGCAGGGTGCTTACGCTGCGTCGGGCCTGTCCCCCTGCAGGAGGAATAGTCAAAAATAGTAAAAAATAGTATGGACCCTTTTTTGGACCTTTTTGGAGTATTTTAGGGTATGTTTTGACTATTTTTGATGTTTCGTCCAAAATTCCCCTGTAGGGGGACAGGCCCGACTTAATGCTCACGTGATCTCTTCTTGTGATCCACTGTTCTGCATATCGGCGCGGGCCCCCTCCCCCCCTGGAGTAGACCTTGGCTGTTTAGGGTGCCTGTTTGTTTCAAGCAGGCGGAGTCTCCCCCCCACAGGACGCACCGTTTGCAAGCACTCGCACTCGGTAGAGGTCCGGGGCCAGGACCCCCCCCCCTCCCCCTCCCTTTCCGCCCAATGTGGAAACGGCGAATCAGAAAACGTTTACCATTTTAATTTTTCGGACTATTTCAACTATTTTTTGTTACTTTTGATTATTGATTATTTTTTTGAATATTTCTTATTTTTCGTCCCAAATTCAGGATATTTCAGGGTTCTTTTTTCTTGTTGAGTATTTTTTAGTTTTCATCCAAAATTCCCCTGTAGGGGGGCACCCCGCCCTCTTGGACGCCCCCCTCTCGGACGCCCCCTGGTTCTGCCGATCGGCGCGGGCCCCCTCCCCCCCCTGGAGTAGACCTTGGCTGTTTGGGGGGTGCCCGTTTCAGGCAGGCGGAGTCTCCCCCACAGGCCCCCCTCTCGGACGCCCCCCTCTCGGACGCCCCCCTCTCGGACGCCCCCCTCTCGGACGCCCCCCTCTCGGACGCCCCCCCTCCCGTTTTTTGACCCTCTTGGACGCCCCCCTCTCGGACGCCCCCGCGGGGGGGCGGCGCCTGTCTCCCCCCCCCCCCTCGGGGCGCGGGGGGGGGCGCAGGGCGGTCCGCCCGGCGGCGGCAGCGGCGGCGCGGGCCTGCAGGCCTGCGAGGCGGCGCGCCCGGCGGGAGGGAGGGGGGGGGAGGGGAGGGAGGGAGGGAGGAGGAGGAGGAGGGGGGGGAGGATGGGAGGGAGGGAGGGAGGGGGAGGAGGGAGGGGGGGTAGAGGGAGGGGAGGTAGGAGGGAGGGGAGGGAGGGAGGGAGGGAGGAGGAGGAGGGAGGGAGGGAGGGGAGGAGGGGAGGGGTAGAGGGAGGGGAGGAGGAGGAGGAGGGGGAGGGGAGGGAGGGAGGGAGGGAGGGAGGAGGAGGAGGAGGAGGAGGAGGAGAGGAGGAGGCGGGAGGGGGAGGGAGGGAGGGAGGGAGGGAGGGGGGATGGGGAGGAGGGAGGAGGGGGCAGGAGGAGGTTGCTCTTCGGGAGGACGTGGCGCTTCGGGAGGTTACGCTTCGGGAGGAGGGAGGGAGGTTGCCCTTCGGGAGGTCACGCTTCGGGAGGAAGAGGAGGAGGGAGTAGGAGGTCACGCTTCGGGAGGAGTGAGGAGGTTACGCCTGGAGGGGGGGGGGAGGGAGGGAGGAGGTCGGAGGACGCGTAATGGGGGGGCGAGATTCAGGGGGGCAGCGAGAGCCGCAGAGAGAGGCCCTTCGAGGCACGAAGGGGGCACCACGTTTCTTCCCCCCTCAATTGTCGCTCCCCCCATGAGTTCGCGCTCAGGGAGGGAGGAGGGAGGAGGAGGGTACGCTTCGGGTGTGTGCGCCCTGCAGCCTGCGCAAGAAAGAGGAAGAGGAGGAGCAGGAGGAGGAGGAGGAGGAGGAGGAGGAGGAGGAGGAGGAGGAGGACCAGAGTAAACCCAAGACTCATCAGCGATGTTGGAAGAAACCCTCCCACCAAGCTCCCTCTCAAAGGTTTATCTCCACTGAGGGAAGTGCCCCGTTGGGAGACAACCGTTTGAATATCCTGAAGCGTGACACAACACCATTCTCGGATTTCCAGCGCCACGAATCAACCTGACTGTTGCTTCTTGCGATCCCGAGTCGCACCATAACGCCATTCCTGGGACTTCGACACCAGGACTCACTGTATCTGTTGCGCGCTGACTGTCCTGAATCGTTCCAGAACGCCATATCTGGTATACGTTAACCATGAGAGCCCGTGAACACCTCACAAGTTTGTAAAGCGAGTGTGCGCGGCGCTAAGGCGAGAACCACATTTAGAAAAGGAGCCGCTTCCAATCCGTGAAACTCTTGCAAATCGTTAAGACGAGTGTGCGCGGCTCTAATGCGAGAGCCACATGTTGGAAACCACCCGCCCTCAGCCCGCTAAGAAAATGGATGTACGCGGCGCTCAGGCGAGAGCTACGCATTGGAAACCACCCGCCCTCAATGTGTGAAGCTCTTTCACTTTATCAAGACGAATGTGCGCGGCGCTAAACCTAGAGCCACATTTTGCAAGCGGCCCATCCTCAGTCGTGAAGCTCTTGCCGATTTGAAGTTGCAGGGTCATGCATGATGAGGAACTCTCAGGCGAAACGCATGGCCCGCCCTTCCGAGTGGCCTCGGGGTGCGACAGGGCGGAGTTACTTATCAGACAAGGAATGGAGGAGGAGGAGGAGGAGGAGGAGGAGGAGGACCAGTGTAATTCCAAGATGAATCAGCGATGTTGGAATACACCCTCCCACCAAGCTCCCTCATAGGCCCCTCACGAAAGTTTATTTCCACTGGGGGAAGTGCCTGGTTGGGAGACAACCGTTTGAAGATCTTGAATCGTGCCACAGCATCATTCTCGGATTTCCAACGCTACGAATCAATGTGTCTGTTGCGTCTTGACGATCCCGCATCATGCCAGAACACCAGTCCTGAGACTTCGTCACCGCGACTCACCGTAGCTGTTGCGCCCTGATTGTCCCGAATCGTTCCAACACATTTCTGGTATGTTAGCCATATAATAGTTTGGTAAAGTGAGTGTACGCGGCGCCCAGGCGAGAGCCACACAGCTCTCAATCCGTGACACTCTTACGCATTTGCAACGGCTGATGCGCGCAGCGCTACGGCGAGAAGCGCATTTTGGAAACGACCCGCCCTCCACCTGTGAAACTGATGTCACTTTGTAAGCCTCGGAGTCATTAAGGGTGAGGACGTCTTAGGCGAAACGCCCAGCCCGCCCTTAAAAAAACTGGCCTCGGGGTGCGACAGGGAGGAGTTCTCTATAAAGAATGCAAGAGGCGGAGGAGGAGGAGGAGGAGAAGGAGGAGGAGGATGAGGAGGCGGAGGAGGATTTGTTGCAGAATTCGCGCGGCGATGAAGCAGGAGCCCCGTCTGGGAAGAGGCCCGCCCTCCATCGGTGAGGCTGCTGTCCGTTGATGCCTCGGGAGCCAGAAGTCTCGGGCGAAGTACTCGGCCTGCCCTCGTCTGGCCTCGGGCGTGCGGCAGGGAGGAGTTATCTATAAGGAAAGGGAGGGGGAAGAGGAGGAGGAACAGGATGACGACGAAGAGGCGGAGGATGAGGAACGATGATGATGATGATGATGATGATGATGATGATGATGATGATGATGATGATGATGATGATGATGCCGATGCTGATGATGCTGATGCTGATGATGATGAGGATGAGGATGATGATGATGATGATGATGCTGATGCTGATGCTGATGATGATGATGATGATGATGATGATGATGCTGATGCTGATGATGATGATGATGATGATGATTATGGTGATGATGATGTTGATGATGATGATGATGCTGCTGCTGATGATGATGATGATGCTGATGATGATGATGCTGATGCTGATGATGATGATGCTGATGATGATGATGATGATGATGATGATGATGATGATGATGTTGATGATGATGATGATGATGCTGATGATGATGATGATGATTGGTGGTGATGATGATGATGATGATGATGAGATGATGATGATGATGATGATGATGATGATGATGATGATGATGATGATGATGATGATGATGATGATGATGATGATGATGATGATGATGATGATGATGATGATGATGATGATGATGATGATGATGATGATGATGATGATGATGATGATGATGATGATGATGATGATGATGATGATGATGATGATGATGATGATGATGATGATGATGATGATGATGATGATGATGATGATGATGATGAGATGATGATGATGATGATGATGATGATGATGATGATGATGATGATGATGATGATGATGATGGATGATGATGATGATGATGTGAGGAGGAGAGGAGGAGGAGGAGGAGGAGGAGGTGGAGGAGGAGGAGGAGGAGGAGGCGGAGGAGGATTTTTTGCAGAAGGAGGCGGAGGAGGATTTTTTGCAGAATTCGCGCGGCGATGAAGCAGGGGAGCCCCGTCTGGGAAGAGGCCCGCCCTCCATCGGTGAGGCTGCTGTCCGTTGATGCCTCGGGAGCCAGAAGTCTCGGGCGCAGTACTCGGCCCGTCCTCTCGCCTGGCCTCGGGCGTGCGGCAGGAAGGAGTTATCTATAAGGAAAGGGAGGGGGAAGAGGAAGAGGAAGAGGAGGACGACGAAGAGGCGGAGGATGAGGAATGAGGTGGAGGAGGAGGAGTAGGAGGAGGAGGAGGAGGAGGAAGAGGAGAATGAGGAGGAGGAGGATGAGGAGGAGGCGGAGGAGGAGGAGGAGGAGGAGGAGGAGGAGAGGAGGAGGAGGAAGAGGGGATGGGAGGAGTTGTTTATAAGGACATGGAGGAGGAAGAGGAAGAGGAAAAGGACGAAGAGGCGGAGGAAGAGGGGAGGAGGAGGAGGAGGAGGAGGAGGAGGAGGAGGCGGAGGCGGAGGCGGAGGAGGAGGAGGAGGAGGAGGAGGAGGAGGAGGAGGAGGAGGAGGAGGAGGAGGAGGAGGAGGAGGAGGAGGAGGAGGAGGAGGAGGAGGAGGAGGAGGAGGAGGAGGAGGAGGAGGAGGAGGAGGAGGAGGAGGAGGAGGAGGAGGCGTGCGCATCGACGGTCCAACCGAACCGAGGAACGGGAGGAGGCCGATCAGAAGAACATGACGAGGTGCACGCTGGTGTCGAGCACCCTGAGCGGGAGGTGGGGATGGACGGCGGCCCTGCTCGCAAAGCGGCGAGGCCCCCTACCGTCCACCACTGCCACCACCCCCCGCCAGCCCCAGCGGCTCCTGGAACTCCACCTTGAGCTTCCGAATGAGCTCGCCAGGCATGACACTGCCGTCCTCGTGGAAGATGGCCGTGATCTCGGCGTATTGAGCCCCGACAGCGCCGACCGACACCTCCACACCAGCGAGAGGCCCACGTCGGATACGAGCACGCGTGTCGGGGGCGATGGTGGGCGTGCCCATGCCATTGTCCTTGCCCTTGCCCATGCCCGACGGGCGCGGCGGCAGATCGTCTGCCCAGGCGTCGTCGAAGTCGTCGGGGACCTCGTCGATAGCCATGCCGCTGCCTTCCACCACCGCCGCCGCCGCCACCAGCGGCAGCCCGCCGCCGCGAGCGTCAGGAGCTCCGAGAGGTGCCGACACGCTGCCCGCGCCTCCGCGCCCGCGGCGGCGCCGTCGGCGCCGAGGCGCCGCCGTGCCACCTGCAGGCGCCGGCACGGGCGCCACCTCCGGAGCGCCGACCGCGGCGACGGCTGCCCGCAGCAGCCCCTCGGCCGCACGCGGCAGCCGCACTCCCTCGAGAGAGTGACCGGCGGCCAGGCCGCTGGCGGCGTGCGCGGCCAGGAGGGCCCCACGCGAGGCCTCCACGGCGCAGCGACGCCCGTCCGTCGCCCGCGGCATCGGTGCGCAGCGACCCAACGGGGTTGAGCCAGCGATGCGAACTTAAGCCGAGCTGGGCTGAGGAGGAGGAGGAGGATGAGGAGGATGAGGAGGAGGAAGAGGACGCGGGGATTGTCTCTTCAAGACGAGGACCCAACACCACAGGATGTTTGGGAATAGGGCGGGAATCGATGTCTTTGCCCCTGGGGGTCCTCTTGGAGAGCTTTTGGGCCGTCTCGGGTGTGTCTTAGACCGTCATATGGTCATCGTGGGAAGTCTTGGAGCCCTCATGGAGCGTGTGGGAAACATCTGGGGGAATGTGAATGCACCTGGATTTCTGGAGCAGATGTGTCGACTAGGACCCCCCGCCTCCAAATCAGCAGGGCTGGGCTCTCGGGGGAGGGGTTTGGGGAGAGGCAGCACTGTCACATGGCAAGGACACCCCAGAAGGTCGGCGATGTTTTCATGGCTTGGCTGGGTCTCTCGCAGAGCGTTCCAGAACGCTTCGGACCAGCCGCGGCGCCTGCCATATCCTGCAGGTCTGCTGGCTCTCAGAGAAGCCCCACCTATCTCATCTCTAGTCTTAGGTCGGGCATGTCCCCTACGGGCGGATTTTGGACGACAGACTAGACATCGTCAAACAAATATCCCAAAAGGGTCAAGGAAAAGCAGAGTTCTCGTCCCCAGACTATTTTTTGACCATCGTGGAATACAGTTAACTCGCACAGTAAGGATGGGCAACCTTCCCAAGGGTATCCTTGCATCCCTGCCCCGTCGGCCCGACCCTAGCGACTTTCACCGGCCACCCTCGTTCGAAGAACGTCAACCTGGCCATCCAAGGCCCCTGCATCCTTACCGTGCATCCTTCCCATACGGGCTGACTGTGTTCGTCCTGGAGCGGGACGTGCCCGACTGGACTCGAGGCCGTCTTTTTTTCCCTGCCCGCCGCAAGCTGCTCGCGAGGTCCCTCCCGCGGCCCGCGTGCGCCCCCTCTCCCGCCGCTCCCTCCTCTCTCCGCGGCCTCCCCCCTCGGCCTCCCGCCCGCCCGTGCACGCCTGCCCAGGGGGTCGTTGAGAGCAGGTGTTCTGGGATTCCCAGATTCCAGTTTCTACTTTGAGCGCCTTCCCACTTCAAGGATCGAGGGGCTGCACCTCCTCCGTCCTCCTCGGGGGGCGGATGGAACCCAACCCACTTTCAGCGCCTTCCTGCTTCACGTTTCTGCCTGCTTCTGCCTGGCAGTGTCCCCGCCACCGCTGCGACAAACAAAGTTGGTCGTCCTCCTGTCGCCGCCTTGCCCGGAGATCTCGCCCCCGCCCCCCGGGACCAGTCCTCTGCCGCGGGCAGCTCTCTTCCGCGGGCCCGCGCGCGCCCGAGGACGCCCCCGGGTTCGCCGAGACTCTGGCAGAAAGCGCTCGGCTGGGCTTTTTCTCCTCGCCACGCCAGAGATCTGGACGACGGCGGCGACGGCGAGGGCGACGACGACGCCGACGACGACGACGGCGACGACGGTGTCGACGACGATGACGACGTCGACGGCGACGACGCCGACGCCGACGGCGAAGACGACGGCGACGACGACGACGTCACCCCCAGGTGGCGCGAAGATGGCTGCGCTTCGCGCGTCGCGGTCTGGGCCCGAGCGGCTGCCCCTCGCCGTGGGGGGCGGCGCGCAACGCGGGGCCCGCGGTGTGGAGCTGGGCGGCCTTGGCGATGCCAGCGGCGGCGATGCGAGCGGCGGCGCCTCAGCGACGGCCGCGCTCGCGACCGCGACGGCGGCGGCGACGGCGGCAACGGCGACGGCGACGGCGACGACGGCGGCGAGGGCGAGGGGGTGACGATGAGAGGCCGGGCTGCTGCTGGCCATTGCGCTGGCCACGGGGCGCCTGAGGCCCGCCCTCCCCGTCGCGTCGTGCGGCGGCATCGGGGGCGCCGCCGCCGCCGCCGCTTGTCGTCGTCGCTGTCGCCGTGGCCATCGTCGTCGCCCAGACCTCCAGCGTCGCCCCAGACCTTCAGCATCGGCATCGCCGCCAGCGCCAGCGTCGTCGTCTTCGGCGTCGGCGTCGTCTTCGTCGTCGTCGTCGTTGTCGTCGTCGTCGTCGTTGTCCTTCATGTCGGCGTTGGCGTCGGTATCGTCACCAGCCGAGTGGTTGTCCGTTTCCCTCGGAGGTTGATAGACCTCCTACCCTGACGCGTCGATTAGGGAATTGGCCGTTTCCGGTTCGCGAGAGGGCGTCGCGGCCGCCTCTTCTGCGGGTCCAGGCCCGTCGGTTTTGGTCTTAGGCCGTTCTCACTAAGGGGAGGTGTACTAAAGGGAGGTTTGTCCACCGCCGATCCCCTCCCCTCCCTCCTGCCTTCTGGCCAAGGAGGCGGGCCAATCGGGGCGGGGCGGGCGGCCGTCGAGGAAGGTCGGCTACGCGCGGCGGCGGGCGGAAGGTCGGGGAAGTCCAGGGAAGTCCAGGGCGAAAATTTATACATGACCACCGCCTGGGGGATCAGTTTTCGGAGCTTCGGCAGGCGGTGGATATGGATATATTTTCGGGCCCCTGGGGGCCGAAATATGTCCATATCCACCCACATGCATATTCATATTCATATTCGTGTTCGTATTCATATTCATGTTCATATTCATATTCATGTTCATATTCATTTTGAGATTCCTATTCATATTCATTTTCATATTCATTTTCTTATTCATGATCATCTTCATATTCATATTCATATTCGTATTCATTTTCATATATATATATACAAATATGTATATATGAATATATTCATAGTTATATATTCATAGATTCATATTCGTATTCCTATTCACATTAATATTCACATGCATATTCATATCCATAGTCATATTCATATTCATATTCATATTCATATTCATATTCATATTCATATTCATATTCATATTCATATATTCATATTCATATTCACATTCATATTCGTTTTCGTTTTCATATTCATTCATATCCTTATTCGCATTCATATTCATATTCATACTCTTATTCATATTCATATTCCTATTCCTATTCCTATTCCTATTCATATTCATAGTCATAGTCATATTCATACTCATTTTCATATACATGTTCGTATCCCTATTCCTACTCGTATTCATATTTATCTTTTTCATTCATATTCATATTCATAGACATAGTCATAGTCATATTCATATGCATATTCATATTCATATTCGTACGCATATTTGCATTCACATTCTCACTCATGGTCATATTCATCTTCATACATATTCATATTCATATTCATCTTCGGATTCACATTCAAATGCAAATTCATATTCATATTCATATTACTATTCGAATTCGTATCCATATTCATATCCATATTCATATTCATATTCAGATTTGTTTTCATATTCATATTCATATTCGTATGCATATTCATATTCATATGCATATTCGTATTCATATTCATATTCATATTCATATTCATATTCATACTCATGGTCATGATCATGTTCATATTCATATTCATCGTCATAGTCATAGTCGTATTCATATTCATATTCATATTCATATTCATCTTCATGTCCATATTCATATTCATATGCATATTCATATTCATTTTCATTTTCATTTCCATTTTCATTTTCGTATTCATATACATATTCATATTCATCTGAAGAATCATATTCATAGTGATATTCGTAGTCATATTCGTATTCATATCCATATGCATATACATAACCATGGTCATAGTCATAGTCATAGTCATAGTCATAGTCATAGTCATAGTCATCGTCATAGTAGTATTCACATTCGTATTCATATACATATTCATACTGGTATTCGTATTCATATTCATATGCATATTCATATTCATAATCATATTCATATTCATATTCATATTCATATTGGTATTCGTATGCGTATTTTTATTCATATTCATATTCGTGTTCATGTTCATGTTCATGTTCATATTCGTACTCATCGTCATAGTCACAGTCATAGTCATATGCATATTCATATTCATATCCATATTCATATCCATATCCATATTCATATTCATATTCATATTCATATTCACAGTCATTTTCGTTTTCTATTTCATTTTCGTATTCATAGTCATATTCATATTCGTGTTGATATGCATATGCATAGTCATATTGATATTGATATTCGTATTCATATTCATATTCATATCCATATTCGTATTCATGTTCATTTTCATTTCCATTTTCATTTTCATGTTCGTATTCATATCCATATTCGTATTCCTATTCTTGTTTATATCCACATCCATATTCATAATCATTTTCATTTCCATTTTCATTTTCAGATTCTTATTCATATTCACATTCATATTCATATTCGTATTTATATTCTTATTCATATTCATTTTCATATTCATGTTCATATCCATATTCATTTTCATATACAGATTCATATCCATATTCGTATTCGTATTCATATTCATATTCATATTCACATGCATATTCATATTCGTATTCATATTCATATTCATATTCATTTCCACATTCATATTCAGATGCATATGCATATTCATATTCATATTTATATGCGTAGTCATTTTCATATTCGTATTCATATTCACTTTCATATCCATATCCATATCCATATTCATATTCATATTCATATTCGTTTTTCATATTCATATTCATATTCATATTCATATTCATATTCATATTCATATTCATATTCATATTCATATTCATATTCATATGTATCTTCATATTCATATTCACATTCATATTCACATTCGTATTCATATGGCTATTCGTATCCATATTCATATATACACATTTACACATGCATATTCCAACAAGCACCGTGTACGAGCAATTAGGTATGAGAAGGTTCACGTAACAAGGGTTCTATCATTACCCCGCTTGTACCAGAAAACTGAAGGCACACGGTTGCCATCCTGAGGGTGTGCGATCTGCGAAGCTGTCGCCATTTTCGAGGGCTGCTGGGGGGGTGCAGCGGAGTGACGTCTCTTACGCGGGCCACCAGGAGACCTCGCCAGCCTTTGGGGGCTGCGATCTGCGAAACTGTCGCCACTTCCGAGGGCTGCTGGGGGGTGCAGCGGAGTGACGTTCTCCGCGGACCACCATGAGACCTTGCCATCCCTGTGGGGCTGAGTTCTGCGAGCCAGTCGCCACTTTCGACGGCTGCTTCGGGGTGCAGCGGAGTGACGTCTTCCGCGGACCACTAGGAGACTTCGCCATCCTGGGAAGGCTGCGATTTGTGAATCTGTCGCCACTTTCGGGGGCTGCTGGTGGGTGCAGCGGAGTGACGTCTTACGCGGACCACGGGGGGACCTCGCCAGCCTTTGGGGGTTAAGATCTGCGAAATTGTCGCCACTTCCGAGGGCTCCTGGGGGGTGCAGCGGAGTGACGTTCTCCGCGGACCACCAGGAGACCTTGCCATCCCTGTGGGGCTGAGTCTTGCGAGCCAGTCGCCACTTTCGACGGCTGCTTCGGTGTGCAGGGGAGTGACGCTCTACGCGGACCACCAGGAGACCTCGCCATCTATGGGGGGCTGCGATCTGCGAAATTGTCGCCACTTTCGAGGTCAGCTGGGGGTGGGTGCAACGGAGTGACGTCTTACGCGGACCACCAGGAGACTGCGGCATCTCCTGGGGTCTGTGATCTGTAAAACTGTCGACACTTTCGAAGGCTGCTGGGGGGGGGGGGGGCAGCGGAGTGACGTCTTACGCGGACCACCAGGCGACCTCGGGATCCCTGCGGTCTGCGATCTGCGAAACTGTCGCCACTTTCGAGGTCTGCTGGGGGGTGCAGCGGGGTGACGCCTTACGCGGACCACCAGGAAACCTCGGCATCCCCTGGGGGGCTGCGATCTGCAACACTGTGGACGGTTTCGAAGGCTGCTGGGGGGGTGGGGATGCAGCGGAGTGACGCTGTACGCGGACCACCAGGAGACGTCGCCATCCCTGTGGGGCTGAGTTCCGCGAAACTGTCGCCACTTTCGAGGGCTGCTTCGGGGTGCAGCGGAGTGAGGCTTTACGCGGACCACCAGGAGACTTCGCTATCCTTGGAAGGCTGCGATTTGCGAAAGTGTCGCCACTTTCGAGGTCTGCTGGAGGGTGCAGCGGAGTGACGTCTTACGCGGACCACCAGGAGACCTCGACATCCCTGGGGGGCTGCGATCTGTGAAACCGTCGCCACTTTCGGGGGCTGCTGGGTGGTGCAGCGGAGTGACGTCTTCCGCGGACCACCAGGAGACCTCGGCATCCCTGGGGGGCTGCGATCTGTGAAACTGTCGCAACTTAGGGGGGCTGCTGGGTGGTGCAGCGGAGTGACGTCTTCCGCGGACCACCAGGAGACCTCGGCATCCCTGGGAGGCTGCGATCTGTGAAACTGTCGCCACTTTCGGGTGCTGCTGGGTGGTGCAGCGGAGTGACGTCTTACGCGGACCACCAGGAGACCTCGGTATCCCCTGGGGGGCTGCGATCTGCAACACTGTGGACGGTTTCGAAGGCTGCTGGGGGGTGGGGATGCAGCGGAGTGACGCTGTACGCGGACCACCAGGAGACGTCGCCATCCCTGTGGGGCTGAGTTCTGCGAAACTGTCGCCACTTTCGTGGGCTGCTTCGGGGTGCAGCGGAGTGAGGCTCTACGCGGACCACCAGGAGACTTCGCCATCCTTGGAAGGCTGCGATTTGCGAAATTGTCGCCACTTTCGAGGTCTGCTGGAGGGTGCAGCGGAGTGACGTCTTACGCGGACCACCAGGAGACCTCGCCAGCCTTTGGGGGCTGCGATCTGCGAAACTGTCGCCACTTCCGAGGGCTGCTGGGTGGTGTGCAGCGGAGTGACGTCTTCCGCGGACCACCAGGAGACCTCGGCATCCCTGGGGGGCTGCGATCTGTGAAACTGTCGCAACTTAGGGGGGCTGCTGGGTGGTACAGCGGAGTGACGTCTTCCGCGGACCACCAGGAGACCTCGGCATCCCTGGGGGGCTGCGATCTGTGAAACTGTCGCCACTTTCGGGGGCTGCTGGGTGGTGCAGCGGAGTGACGTCTTACGCGGACCACCAGGAGACCTCGGCATCCCCTGGGGGGCTGCGATCTGCAACACTGTGGACGGTTTCGAAGGCTGCTGGGGGGTGGGGATGCAGCGGAGTGACGCTGTGCGCGGACCACCAGGAGACGTCGCCATCCCTGTGGGGCTGAGTTCTGCGAAACTGTCGCCACTTTCGAGGGCTGCTTCGGGGTGCAGCGGAGTGAGGCTCTACGCGGACCACCAGGAGACTTCGCCATCCTTGGAAGGCTGCGATTTGCGAAACTGTCGCCACTTTCGAGGTCTGCTGGGGGGTGCAGCGGAGTGACGTCTTACGCGGACCACCAGGAGACCTCGCCAGCCTTTGGGGGCTGCGATCTGCGAAACTGTCGCCACTTCCGAGGGCTGCTGGGTGGTGCAGCGGAGTGACGTCTTCCGCGGACCACCAGGAGACCTCGGCATCCCTGGGGGGCTGCGATCTGTGAAACTGTCGCAACTTAGGGCGGCTGCTGGGTGGTGCAGCGGAGTGACGTCTTCCGCGAACCACCAGGAGACCTCGCCAGTCTTTGGGGGCTAAGATTTGCGAACCTGTCGCCACTTCCGAGGGCTGCTGGGGGGTGCAGCGGAGTGACGTCTTACGCGGACCACCAGGAGATCTCGGCATCCCCTGGGGGGCTGCGATCTGCAAAATTGTCGACAGTTTCGAAGGCTGCTGGGGGGTGGGGGTGGAGCGGAGTGACGTTCTCCGCGGACCACCAGGAGACATCGCCATCCCTGTGGGGCTGAGTTCTGCGAGCCAGTCGCCACTTCCGAGGGCTGCTTCGGGGTGCAGCGGAGTGAGGCTCTACGCGGACCACCAGGAGACTTCGCTATCCTTGGAAGGCTGCGATTTGCGAAATTGTCGCCACTTTCGAGGTCTGCTGGGGGGTGCAGCGGAGTGACGTCTTCCGCGGACCACCAGGAGACCTCGCCAGCCTTTGAGGGCTGTGATCTGCGAAACTGTCGCCACTTCCGAGGGCTGCTGGGTGGTGCAGCGGAGTGACGTCTTCCGCGGACCACCAGGAGACCTCGGCAGCCTTTGAGGGCTGCGATCTGTGAAACTGTCGCCACTTCCGGGGGCTGCTGGGGGGTGCAGCGTGACGTCTTACGCGGACCACCAGGAGACTTCGGCATCCCTAGGGGGCTGCGATCTGTGAAACTGTCGCATCTTTGGGGGGCTGCTGGGGGTTGCAGCGGAGTGACGTCTTACGCGGACCACCAGGAGATCTCGGCATCCCCTGGGGGCTGCGATCTGCAAAATTGTCGACAGTTTCGAAGGCTGCTGGGGGTGCAGCGGAGTGATGCTCTACGCGGACCACCAGCAGACCTCGCCACCCCTGGGGTCCAGCGGAGTGATGCCTTTTTCTGTTACCTGGGGGTTGTTTCGAGGTCCGGGGTCGTCAGGCGGCGGGTTTGTCCGCCCGGCTGATAATTTTTCCGAGCGCCGCGGCGACACGGCGTAGGCAGCGCTGCAGATTTTGCGCACTGCCGACAGAAGCAACACTCTTCGGTCTCCTCCCGTCCCGTCACTTTCGTCGTCGTCCTCTGCCCCCTGCCACCTTCCTCTGATGCTGCCGTGCTGACGGTTCGGCCCCCCGCGCGTCCTTCTCCTGCCCGTCGTTCCCGCTCCCATGTCCTCCTCAAGGTTGGGAAGGTTGGGCCCTCGTTCCTCGTCCTTCTGCTGCTGTCGTGTGAACCGTGCCACGTGAGCGCATCCCGTGTAGCCTGCATAACACAGAATGGCGCCAGTACTGCCACTGTCCTGGCAGGTTTGGGCCACCTCCTCTTGTCACTTGATGCCACTCGGTTGGGTAGTGCACGCGACAGTCCGTGAGCGGGGGCCCTTTCTTAGGGTACAGAAACTCTACAGAGCAGCACCTGGCATTTCTGTACGCCCACAACGTGCAGGCACAGTGGCGGATTTGTAAGTTCAGGGTTTCCAGGGCGGGCCAAGTTGGGGCGTCGCGCCAGGCGAATTTTAGGAGCAACGGCATACAGCTGACGGGACTTCTATACGCCCCTGCGTGCGAGGGCAGGATGGCAGACTTGCTTCGGCTTGCTCATCGTACCTGGCGTGCCTTACCTCGCCTTATCATTTTCTGCTTGGATTGGCGGCTTACCCCCCTCCACGTTGCGTACATGCGTACCCAGCGTTCGTTGAACATTATAATTGTTTGATTCCTAGCTTCCAGCTTATCGTCTTATTTCAATGGGACCCTTATCTCGTCCTGTCCTGGGGCGGGCGGACACCCAAACTGCTTTCAACACTTTCCCACTTCCTGTCTTCTTCCGAGCGATGGGTACATCCGTTTGTCCTGCTCTGATCGATATGCCTCTCCGAATTGTTACCGATTCCACCCTGAGGTGCTGTGCATTGCCCTGGCCTGAGCGCCCGCTGTGCTTCCCCGTTCGGCGATGGCTCCCTGATTGAACTCCGAAGACCGCCGAGGGACGCCACAGACTGCCAGAGAACGCCGAAGGCTGCCGAATGCTGCTGGGGAACCATGGGCCCACTTGGGGCGAGCACGTGGCCACTGGCACACGTCGGTTCCACTGCTGCCCATTGCTGGCAGCCCCGATGCCTCCTCTGCCTCGTGCCACGTTCACGCGCTGCGGTATGCGCGCTCTTGGAGGCGAAGTCCCAGGCCTGCGCGCGACTCGCGTCGCCGCTTGGCCGCTGGGAGGCCCGCTCGTCGCCGCGCCCCGCTCCCCAACGAGCAGGCCCCGGCCCCTCGCGATCGCGCTCCTCGCTGCAGCTTTTCTGGCCCTGGGCACGGGCTTTCTTGGGGGTGGGGTGGGGGCGAGGGGGCTGATAACGTCACGATTCGCGCGGGCGCTGTCTGGGAAGCAGCTGCCCACGGCAGTTCCAAAATGGCGCCGGCGCGAACCGTGACGTCGCCAGGAGAGGGGGGGAGCATCCCCGGTAGTGGCCGTTAGCGCGATTCGTAGCAAAAATGCGCTTCAGCTATTTCGGTGGCAAATCATGGGAGCCTGGTACAGCCTCTTAATTCTGTCATTAGCACCGATTGGCGTGGATTAGCTTCTGGAGTCGATGAGATAAGCCCGATTTATCGTCGATTAGCGTCGATGAGCGTCGATTTAGCGTCGATTGGCGTCGATTTGGCGTCGACTATACCGTCGACTCGCAAAAGCCGACAAGATGGTATGGGAGGATCACATAAGCGGCCCCCGAAGGCTATCAAGGGTCAAGGCTCGCAGCCCAGCTGCTGAGGACCAGAGGCCGTTTTCAGGCGCGGCTCGGCGGTGCGCGTCCCCGCGCTGGCAGATGCCCGGCGCCGCGCGCGCGGTGGCCGTCGCCTCGTGGGACGACCTGGTGCTCGAGGCAGCGAGATTTGCGGGGATGGTGGGATTCTGCATCCTCCTCCGCCTTTGATGCGCCCCCTCCTCCCTCTCCCTCTCCCTCTCCCTCTCCCTCTCCCCCTCCCTCTCCCCCTCCTCTTTCCTCCCCCTCCCCCCTCCCCCTCCCCTGTCTGCTCCCTTCTCCTACTCCTCATGCTCATCCGGTCCCTTCCTCTGCCTACCCGCCCCCCCCCTGGCACTCACTCGTGGCACTACTGGGCCAACTCGAGGCGTTTTGAGGACTTTCTGGGGCTTCTGGGGAGTGCTGGGGCGTGCAGGGGAGTCCCGAGGCCTTGCGAGGGGCATCTCCGGAGTCTCCCGCGGCCCTGCTGGGGCCCCCTCCTGGGCCCTGTTTTCAGGGGTGGACGTGCGGTTTTCGGACCTTCGAGGCCCCCCTGGTTGCCCCGAGACAGCCTCAGAGAGCGACCCGAGTCCCAGAGCCGTGCGGTCACACGCCTCCCCACTGGCTTACGGTAGGTTCGTGTCGTGTCGATTGGCGGCGACCCCGCCAGCGGCGTTCAACGTTGCACGCCGCGAGCGATCCAGAATCGTTCGGTGTGGAACGATGTGGACGTTTCGGAAACGGCCGATCCTTCCAGGTTGGACGACCCCCGCGGTGTCAGAAACCAACGCCGAAGTCGGCACGACACGAGCCTGCCGTAACCGCGCGGTGTGGTCGCCGCACCGCCCGGGCACCACCCGCTGCTGGCCCCCCCTCCCCGAGCGAGAGGCCCACGCCGTGCCGGCCCGGGCCCGCGCCGCGCTCGTGCGCATCGCCCCCGCCGTGGCCGTGGCGGTGGCCGTGGCCGTGGCCTGCGCCGCGGCCGTGACCGTGGCCGCGCTCGCGGCCGTGGCCGTGGCCCGGGTGGTGGCCGTGATCGCCGCCGAGGTGGGGGCTCGGGGGTGATGACTAGGGGGGGGGGTCGATCTCATGGCGGGGGCCATGACATCTCCCCAGATGTCATGGCGCCTCTTCTTATTTCAGTCCGTTCCTGCCCCCCCCCCCCCTGGGCCGCGCTCACGCCGCCGGCCGTGACTTGCGCCCCCCCGTCTTGGACACCCTCCTCTTGGCCGCCCCCAAGGGGCTCAAGAGACGGGGGACAATGCAAACGGGGGTCAGTCAGAGCGCCCGATCTTGCAGTATCCTGCAGGGCCAGGGTCGCACCGACCCGGGTCTGGGTGCAGGATCCTGCAGGACCTTTCGCATGGACCCGGGGTTGGGTGCAGGATCTTGCAGGATCACGCAGGATTCTGCAAGGCCTGACTGACCCGGGTTCGGATTGGCCCGGGTCAGAAGATGCAAGATGAGGCCACGGCCCTCGGGGGCGTTCGGCGGCAAATCATGGGAGCTCGGTGTACCCTCTGAGTTCCGTCTTCAGCGTCGATTGGCGTCGATTAGCGTCTGGCAGTCGATGAGATGGCGTCGATTTAGCGCCGGTTAGCGTCGATTAGCGTCGAGTTAGCGTCTATTAGTGTCGATTTAGCGTCGATTCGCAAGAGCCGACAAGATGGTATGGGAAGCTCCCATGAGTTGCCACTGAAGGGGCGTGCGAGGGGTGGGTGGGTGGTGAACACGGGGGCTCTCGCTGCGGAGCCCGACGGTCTCCGCGCCGATGGCGCCGATGCGTCGCTGGCGTCGCCAGTGCACCACCGATGCGTCGGCGATGTGGCGCGATCCTCCCGCCCCAGCTGCTCGGGCACCATCTGGGAGGCCTCCAGCACCGTGGGGCGCCTGGAGATCGCGGCCGGGGCCAGGACGCCTCCCGGATCTCGGGGCCCCCGCTCGTCGCTCCGCGCCCGCTCGTCGCTCCGCGCAGCGGCCAGCCCCCACGCGTCCGCGCGCGTGCCTCGGACCGTCACCCCCGTCTTCCTGCCCCCCCTCGTCTTGCACTCCCGACGCCCCGATCTCTGGCGTCACCGGCCGCCAGCTCGGCGGCCAGTGTTTCCAGGCCCGGGCGTCCGGAGGCCGCTCCGGCCTCCGGACGCCCCCTCCGAGGGCGGCCCGGGGCACCAAGACCGGTCTCCGCGAGGGGGTCGAGAGGTCCAGTGGCAAATGCCACGAGCAAGCATTGGCGGTGCGCAGAAGGGGGTAGGGGGAGGGGGGAGGGCTTCTTAGAAGCACCCCTGCTTCTTAGAAGGCGCGGGCCTTATCTGCAGATGCAAGGCCGGCGCCTTCTACGAAGCAGCCTCCTTCTAAGAAGCCTTTCCCCCTCCTCCTACCCCCTCTGCGCGCCGCCAAAAGCAGTGGTGCTGTCGGGTGTCCGAGCAGGCAGCGGCAGTGGTCGGGACCACGGCGGTGGCCTGGCCCAGAGATTGCGAGCGGGAGAGCGCCGAGTTGGCCCGCTGGACCGTGAGGGGAGAAGCACGAGTACGAGTATCCAGATGTCGTGGGGTCTTGACCACGCTGGTCTTGGTCCTGGCCTTTGGTTGATTATGGTCAACGCCGGCCGTCGCCGATTCGAGAGGATGATCCGCGAACTGGCGGTGACCAAGATGGAGGGTGACCCTGATCGACACCGACGTTTCTGCGTCCAGTCTTGGTCATGGTGATCGCTTTGTCTCCCTCCAGGACCTTCCTGCGCTGCTGCGTGATTTCCCTGATCGTGCTATGGCGCGTGCGCGGGCTTGTGCGGGAGCCAGGTCCAGTCTGCGAGCGGGAGCACCCGGACCTGACGAGGATTGGGTAGCAAGACGCGGGCGGCTGCCACACCTTCTGGGCGGAGGGGGAGCGGATCCGTTTGGAGTGGGGTTTCAAGGGCTCGGTCGGGCATTGGAGGTGTCGCTCGCGTTTTGTTTGCAGTTTCGCTGCTGGTGCTTCCGTGGGTTGCCCAGGTACCAGCTTTGGCGGCGCGTGATGCCATGTGGTCTGTCCGCTGACCGTCCCCTCAGCTTTCCTCCACCTCCCCAACTTGCGCTGGAAGAAGACGTCAGAGTGGAGGGGATGGGGTGGGGTGAGAGGGCTAGTAGACGGGATGGATGTGCTCATCACGCGTAGAGATGAGGATGTGCAGGCATCTTCGTACGCATTGGTCGGGATATTTGCGATTCCGTTTGCGTGAGTTTTCTTAGCCCTTCCATTGGTTTGATTGCAAGAGTTGTTCAATGGGCGCCATCGTGGAAGCAGTCGGACGTTCCACGTGTCCCAAGACCCAGCCTTTAAAAGCGTCGCGCCTTTGGTGCCTCCACGCCTCCACTGATTTCTTTTCTGCCCTTCTCTGCCGAGCAGTGGTCTGCGCCTGAAGATGGCTCCCTGGACGTTCCCAACAGAGCGCTACGGCGCTACGCGCACATCCCCGTAGTCGGGACAGCTCGGACAGCTCTGTTGAAGCGGCGCTCCCTCTCAAGGGATCAAGGGTGAGGAAACACAACCCAGACCCCGACAACGGGCGTTTACTAAATGGCCCTGGGCGTTCACTGAACAGCCCTGCCCCGTTCGATTCCTTCTTTTGAGTGCATGTACGAAACGGCTTCGCTCGTCGGGGTGCTTATTATGGTGGTGTTATTTTTGCCCTCTACCCTCTCCCTCCCTCTCTCTCTCTCTTCGGCGGCGAGCGAGGGGGGGAAGTGAGAAGGAGAAGGCCTTCTCAGAAGGCTCGGAAGTCCCCCGGCCTCCTGAGACGTTTTCTGAGCCTTCCCCAACGACACAGAGGCAACTACTCAGAAGGCCAGAGGGCTTCGAGGGCTTCTGAGAGGTTCCGCCGCCTTCTGAGAAGGCCTTCTCCTTCTCATTTCCCCCCCCTCGCTCGCCGCCGACTCTCTCAGGAGGAGGAGGAGGAGGAGGAGGAGGAGGAGGAGGAGGAGGAGGAGGCGGGGGAGGAGGAGGAGGAGGAGGAGGAGGAGGAGGATGAAGATGAGGATGAGGATAAGGATGAGGATGATGATGATGATGATGATGATGATGATGATGATGATGATGATGATGATGATGATGATGATGATGATGATGATGATGATGATGATGATGATGATGATGATGAATCTGATGATGATCCACGCATCCAAGAAGGTCTGGAGCTCCCCGCTCGATACAGCCTCCCGAAGCCATGGCCTTTCCCTCTGGCGCTGCGGACGCAAGGCCTGACCCGTGCCCAAGGCACACTCGCAGACTCGCCTGAAAACCTTTGAGGCCGCCGACCGCCCCAGCCAAAGGCAGGCGGTCAGCAAAGCATCTGAGCCCTCGCGGCGACTCAGCCCGCAGACAGCTCGGCGCGCCACACCAGAGCAACAGTCCCCTAGGCACCAGGCCACAGACGGGGACGACTTGCTCTGAGGTGACATTCGGAGGCGATCCTGACGGTCGGCCACAGCCTACCACCACGGTTCGGCCTCCGCCTGGCGCGGCACAGAGCACAGAGCGGGCTGGAGCGCAGCAAGCTGCGCGGGCTGACGCGCCCAAGGCGCGCCAGCAGCTACATTAAACGGAGGCGCCGAAGGCGCCTAGCGTAAGACGCTGCCCAAGAGGGGCGGGAGGGAGTGAACCCTGGCGTGTGCCGAGCCCCACGGGGTACAGCCTACGCCACGGGGTCCCTCCCCCCCCAGAGGCAGCAGCTCGGCGCAGGCATTCGTGATCCTTGGACCCGCCTGCGACACGAGCAGATCCCGTGAAGGCTCGGGCATCTGAGCGACTAAGGCCTGCGGCTCCTCGAGTGGGACCCCGAGGAGGAAGCTGGCCGCTGCGAGGGCCAACCGCGAGGCGGCCGCCGCCTCCAGAAGCTCGCCTGCAGACAAGAAGCCCGTGTCGATGCCATCGCCGCTGTAGGGAACGGAACGGCCGCCGACGTCGCCGAACCCGTCGCCGTTAGTTCCTGCAGGGGCAGTGGTGTCGCCCGCAGCAGCTGGGCCAGCGCCTCGGGGGACTCTGAGCCTCCCCCCCGCTGCGCAGTGCTGCTGGATGATCGCCTGCAGGTCGTCCAACTCGATCTCGCCCACGTGGACTCCAGGCGCCGCGTCGCCCTCGGGAACCACATCCCCCGTGTCGCCCTCGATCTCATCGGGCACGGGGGTCGCAGCCGCCCACTTCAGCTCGTCGGCGATGCGCCTCATGTCGGTGGGATCCCTGCCGTCCCACAGCCAAGTGAGAGCCCTGAAACCGATCGGGCAGTCGGTGAGAGCAGGCAGGGGAGGCAAGGCCCTGAGGCCCACCGTCCCATCGAGGAGGACATCGGAAGTATCGAACCCGTCGGAGAACTCGCAATCATCACCTCGATCCTCCACCACGAGGGACGAGAGCGAGCCATCGGATGCGACGACGTTGTGCTCCCCACTCAGCATGTTCAGCTGGTAGTCGGGGCCGAAGCCGCGGCCCAGGTCCACGTCGACGTTCGCTTCCCTGTGCTGCCTTGCGCCCTCCAGCTGCTGCAGGAGCGCCGCGTCCCGCAGATCCGATTCCAGCGCCTCCGCGAGCCGACAGGGGCTGCTCTCGAAGGTCCAGGCGACCCCAGTTGAGGCCTGGCACAACCGCAGCCTGTCGGGCAGGGATAGCATGCCAACGATCCGTACCTGGAGCACCTCGGGCAGCGGGGCCAACAGGGCAGCGGCAGGCTTGAGCGCGGGCCGCTGTGCCGCCTCGAGCCGCTGGCGCGAGACCCGCCGCAGGCGATCGAGGTGATCCTCGCCCCCCAGGAGCTCCGTCTGGACGCTGCCGTCCACTGCCACGGCGACGACCTGGTTCGCGAAGCTCACGATGGGGGGGCGCCGCCATCCCTCAGTGGCGGCAGCGCCGCCCAGCACTGGGCAGACCCTGGCACCGGGAGCCTGGCAGTGCTCGTCGGGTGCCTCACCGTAGTCGCCGAAGGGCAGCGCCGCCGCCTCCGGGAGCGAGGGCAGCCAGCCCAGGCGGGGGCCTGCGGCGGCCCGCGAAAGGCCCGCTGCGGACGCGCGCGCGAATCCGCCCGCAGGGACCAGCAGCGCGTGCCACGCGGCGTTCCGCCGCCGCCGCATTGCGCCTGGGACGCGGCATCCCGCGGCGGCTCGGCGCAAGGCGGGGCGCGCAGCAGCCTCCCGGTCCTGCCAGGAACCTGGGCCGCCGCTGGCCGCCTTGCCGACTGCCGCCGTGGCGGCGAGGAGGCGCCGCGCCCGCGCCCGTCGGCGGGCCGCCGAGGCGCCTACCTCGGCCTCCTCCTTCCTGCGCAGCGCACTGCCACGCCTGGTGGGCCGCCCCGCCATCGCGCCTGCGGGCAGCCCCCCGTCGCCATTGCTCATCTCCCAGTCGCGCGCCGCTGACCGCTGCGCGTGGGCGCCTGCGAAAGTTCGGAGAAACAGCTTGAGCCAAAATGGCTACGGATGATGATGATGATGATGATGCTGATGATGATGATGATGATGATGATGATGAGGAGGAGGAGGAGGAGGAATAATAATAGGAATAATAATAATAGTGATAATAGGAGGAGGATGAGGATGATGAGGATGATGAGGATGATGAGGATGATGAGGATGATGAAGATGAGGATGAGGATGAGGATGAGGATGATGAGGATGACGATGATGAGGAGGAGGATGAGGATGAGGAGGAGGAGGAGGAGGAATAATGATAGGAATACTAAACATAGTAATACTAATGCGAAAAATACTATGAAGAAGACGAATAATAATACTAATATGACTAAGAAGGAGACGAACAATGCTAATGATAGTATTAAGAATAATAATAAGAATAATAATAATATGAAACATAAGAAGAATACTATTACGAATAATGATAATACTACTAATCATACTACGACTAAGAAGAATAATCCGAATATGAATACGAACAAT